CCAATTTCACCCTTCCCATTCCTTTCTTATACCCATTTTAACCTTTAACTTTAACAAAATTACAAAATTATCAACACCAAATAAAAAAATCCATGCCTATAGCTTGCTCCTCTCATCAAACCTTCTTTATTGTTTGGACCGGCCGGTTCACCGGTTCAACCGATTGAACCGATCAAACCAAAAACCAGACCTGAAAACGGTTCAATGACCGATCCGGTTTTGAAAACATTGATTTACAACCGTTTTTGCCCACCCCTATTTGAAGATATTATTTTTAACTTTTCTTTCTATTGTCTCTATTCTAAATTAATGCGTTTATTTTAGATTTGGGTTTGGGATTTCAGATTCTTAAATATGTTTACTTTCCCCATTTTTTTCCTGTGGTTAAGATTTAAAAACACAATGTTTGGATTTTTTGAGGATTGGGTCTTTATGTAATCAATGGATAATCTTTTGTAATAGGTAGTTTTGTTTCTGGGTGCTCAAGTTTTGATTGATCTAAAAAATTGGTCCTTTCATATTATCCCAACCGTTGTCCTCGATCCTCCTAGCTTGATTTGTTTCTGTGAGGGGAAATACAGTTCTATTATAGCCAACCACATTTCTAAAGATTTATCATATCTTCTCTTTTATTTCTTGGTTCTCCATTTTCAACAATGGGATGTGTTGTTTACAATGTCTTATGACAGTGTTAGCCAATGAGAGTTTGTGAATAGATTTCTATTTACAAACTGTCATGGAAAATGGATTAATGTTGACTGGCTAGATAATGTAATAACAATTTTACTTTTCTATAATTTTTTCTCTCTCTCTCTCTTAATATTTCTTTCCAGTTTTCAATGTACTGGTAGCTTTCTTATTCTTTGCTTTAAATGTCATTCACATAAACCTGATTCCAGCCTTATTTATGCCTAATTTAGGTAGAACCATAATTTGATAAAGACTGCATCAGCTAAAGATGTTTTGTAGCCATACTCGCTCCATCATTCATCTTCTGCCAGTATGGTGTTAAGAGAAAAGTTGTAAGTCTCCAGTTTGGTTTTTGTTTGAAATCTTAAAATGGGAAATTTGGGTGGGTTGAGCTAAGCAGTCATATTGCGTTTATTTGAAGAAGAGGTGGTTTTTTTTTATTTACTTTCTGGAATCTTTATTGTGCCCTTGCTACATGATTGGTAATCTTGTTCGCAGTTTAAGCTCTAACCAAAGCAACAAACATCAAAGAAGCACCGCTACCTGTTGCACCTCTTTTCTAGATTGTATGGCGAAACAAAGCACGGCAGGCAGCGACTTAAGAACACATCAAAGAAGATCTCGGGTATGTTATCGGTGTGCACTCAGGTGGTCTCAGGGCGCTCTTCGTTGTGCTGCTCCACCTTAAACTTAGACGAATGTCGAAACCATTTACATTTATATTGTGCCCCCGCTACATCCGGCTGCCTCTCCCATCGGGATTGTCTGGTAAAGCAAAGCCCTGCAGGGGCGACCTGAGCACACATCAAAGAACACCAATCACCTCAGGTATTATGTTGGTGCACTCACATGTGGTCTCAGGTCACTCCTGTAAGGCTGCTCCACCTTAACTTCACTCCCCTTCTGCTTGCAACCTTGAGATGCATCATCTGAATACTGATTCTATCTTATATAGAAGATGATATAGTTCAATTCAGTACTTACATCAAATTGTACTACATAGTATAACAACTGTACTTCCTAACCTTCAATTTGTTATTTGAAATGGTAATACACCTTTGTATTGCTAAATGTGAAATGGGTCAACAACTTACTACAACCTAAAATGCTGTTTGTCTTCTTCCTTTTCATTTTTTTTTTTTTTTTTTAAGATTTTAACATGAATTTCTAAGGAAAGATAACGCGTAATCGGTCTTCTTCCTCTCATTTTATGACAATTCAATTGTACAACAATCAAATATCCCGATGGTATATGTACTACACAGATTCCATCTTATTTATTTTTGGGAAAATACAGGGATTCCATCTAGAATTCATGAATCTAGCTTTCTATCTATTCTGCATTTTGGTTATCCGGAACGCGTCCTCAACTCTGCCTGTCTCTGCTACCACAAACTGTAGGAAAAAATAAAAAAAAAAAAAGGAAGAAGAAGCTTAAACACCGTAATCTCTTGATTTTTTTTGGTTCTACAATTGTGAAATTCACTGATACCAACCTCTAATTTCATCTCAGCCTTGGTTGCGTGTGCTCTAACGTAGCCAAACTTGGAAATCCTTGACAGACTCCATCTTGCAGCCTGTAAGAAAATAACCATATATATACCTGGTCATGCTTAAAAATTGAGTTAAATATTGAGTATTCAACACAAGATTGTACACTAACATCATCTGAAAACTTGTCCAGAGTGAAGCCAGCCATTCCGACTATTACTTGCACAGGAGCAGAGTAGTTGGTGTGATCATATGTGTCCACCCCACTTGCATCTTTTCTTGGCATTGTAAGGCATTGTGATTTATAAATGGAACATGTCCTCTCGTAGTTATGAACATGTCCAAAAAGAACCAGATCCACCTAGTTCATATCATTAATGCTCCCAAATCATTCATGTTACAAATTCAGCCAGAGATGAGAAGCTAGAACTAGAACTAATTAAATCAATTGGGAACTCACCTTGGTTTGCAGCAGCAAAGGTTCTACGTCCTTAACAAAATTATCGTCGACACTCAAGGCACTCAAGAGTCCAGTTGATGAACTGTACATGGGTCTGTGCCTGCATTTGCAACGGTTGTACACAATATGTTAAAAACTCTTTGACCCAAAAACATAAGAAAATTAAGATTTAAAGAAAGGTTTTCCATCAACATGAATTCTACGAACTTACCCAGTGAAAATCAACCATGGTGTTCTTGATCGATTAACTGAGGCCATATCATTTTTCATCCAATTATACTGTTGTAAAAAAAGGAAAGAAAAGAAAAGAAACCAATTGAAATAATGAACATAAGAGATTGATGTGAGATGGAAAAAAAAAAATTATCAAGGATCTGGACTTACCTGCTCAGAATTTTCTGACCAGGGATGTTCTGTGGATATGACAGTGAAGTGAATGCTTCCTTGTTCAATGGAGTACCATGGTTTATCCTTCGCTGGGGTTGGCATTGGGAAATATATCTCATAAGGAACCCCACACTCACCACCAGAGTCAGGAGTAAGGTATATTGAGCCTGAGTCTTTATAATCCCTGTTAATGGAATGGGATTTTTTTGGTTCAGCCATTTTGTCATACACTTCTCAAACTCTAAATTAAGGTTGGGGAAATATTACCTCTCATGGTTTCCAATTGCTGTCATGTAAGAAACCTTGGAAGCCAGAGGACTTATAAGTTGAAGAAAATAATCCCATTCAACTAAGAACCCTGTTGCATAACTTATGTCTCCAATGTGGAAAATTGAGTCTACATTGCCATTTTCCACCTCGCCAATCATGCCTTTTATCACTGATAGTGATCCTGGCTGTAGAAATTAGAAAATTTTACCCTCAAATTTTCATTATTGTTAGGGGAAAGGCCACAATCAGAGCAAGAATTATGACAAGGAAATTGCGTTGTTTTGGAGCTGTACCTGAATATAGTGCTCAGTTGAAGCATCAAGAGGGGCCTTTCCCATGTCACCAAATACAAGAAATCTGACTTCATCTGCTCCTGCTGCTGGCGGAGTCTTGAATTGAATTTGGTCACTCCAACCCACTGAATCACTGGATGATAGAATTAAGACCATAATCAAGAATTAATAAAAATTATAATTAAGTTAAACAAATATACACATGTACCTTCCATATCTGTAGGAGAAGTTCCTTGAAGGCTGAAGTCCTGTCATGACTGCAGTATGAATGTAGCCAGGGTCATGCCACCCAAAATCCTTTGCTGGACTTGGTGGAGCAAGAACACCTGTCATTTCCAATACAGAGACATAACTTGTAACTAAAGAAAGGGTTTTAAGGTATATCGACCAAAAATCTTGAGCAGAAAATCAATGGTAGTATGCTTGTCATTGCTTTATGCAAATTTATATAAGCTTACTGCACATATCATCCTGTGAAAATGTAGTAACTTGAGACGCTTCTGATTTCCCACCTCCGTATTGCACTTGTTGAGGTTGTTTATCCCCGCTAACCCATGTTAATCTCATCTGTACCGCCAACCATAAAATTGATCTTAAAATGCAATGCTTAAGACTATGCTTTAATATTTTGAAGTAGCTATGTTGGTTTCTTTCATACTGATGTTCCGGTTGAGTCTATGCTGGAGAGGTGTCCATACAATGGCATTTTTGGATTGGCAAAATTCAGGTTGCCTGTCCTACTGAGAATGCAAGGAGCATCGAATCCTCCAGTAAAGAACACGAACTGGATGTCGGTTCTGATGTTGATAACATGGAACCGTACTGTGCCATTGCAAGTTTTCACCCCACATGTGCCGTCTAATATGTTTTTTTGCTTGCATTCCATCTTCTTGCAACTTAGGTAGCCTGGATCATTTCTCACGAACTGTGCCTGCAATTTTAGACCGCATTGATGTACAAGAATCTTTGTGAGAAAAGCAAGGTAGAAACTTAGAATTATTATCTTGTTTCCACTAAAAGCTCTGAAATTGACCCCCTTTTTTTTTATGAATTTGGAATGTGTAGTTTTTGTGTTTTACCATATATTTTAGGCCCATTTGGTTTAACTCTGTCTCCTATTGAGATAAAATCCGACTGCTTAGTACAGTGGTTATTGAACAAAAAATTATACCAAATTAAATTACCTTAACCGGATAATGGCAGAGGAGAGGAAGGTTGCTAACATCACCCGTTTGTATATAAAATGCTAAACTCTGAGGACAGCCGCCTGATATACTGCATATAATTAATGTCACGCACGATGCAAAATAAGGTTAAAAAGGGAGCAAAATTAAGTTCATATAAACCAAAATTTGGAAGGCAAAGAATGATTTGAAAAAACAGAAAACTATCTTTTATTATATAATTAGATATCTTTCAATGTACATAAATAGAATCTCCAACATATATATTTTCAGCATAAATCATGGGTGTATGATATGTCAAGGATGAAAAATATGTCTGAAATTCTATTCACATTAACTCATGCATTTTTCATGACTCTTACTCGGAAGAAGAAGGTGAGATCATGGCGATCCAATCATCCTTGGACGGAACCAAGACTCCACTAACGGTCACTTCAACAAACTGATTGTCTGAGAGTTTAGAACCCGAATTAACGTTGATTTGGAGAAAAGGGTTGGCATCAATACAATCAAACAGAGCTCTTCTGTTGAGAACGCGAAAATCAGATATTGCTGTGTAATTCTGATGCATAAAGGTCGAATGCAAAACCAGAGGATGAAGAGAGGAAGAAGAAGAAGAAGAAGAAGAAGAAAGGAAAGCAAGGAAGAAAGGAAAGAGTATAATGAAGAAAGGTTTGAAAGAGAAGAAAGACTCCATTAATGGAAGGATTCAGATTCAGAGGTAGCGGAAAATAAGGTTATGTTTGTTTAGATCAAGGAAAAGGCTTTGGTTTTAGATCGATGTTGGTATTTATAACGGACATGTGGGCTAGTGTTGCGTGGAGAGTTTTGGTTTCTTGAGGAAAGTTGTTAGTTATGTATGTCCAATTAACCGGTAATTTTGTCTTCACTTTCCATTTTTTATGCTATTACATGAGATTTTATCTCCTGCTGTCCGTTAATTTTTTTCTCCTAAGAATGATAAAGGAGTGCAAATCTCCCCACAAAAGGGCAAAAAAAATGTAAGGAAAGTTCATTTTCATTATAGGTGGTGAGGAATGTGGAAGGATCCGAGACTTGTGCTTATATACCAAGGATTTTTGGAATAAGCTAATGCTTTTTGCCCACGAGAAAATAAAATATTGTGTGATTTAAATTATATAATTTAAATTATTAAATATAAATAAATTTTTTAATATTGGAAGTTATTTTCTTATTTAATAATTTCTGTTTTGCAAAAAAAAAAAAATCTCAAAGGTTATAATTTGCTTAATAAGCAAGAAGGGAGAAAAAGAGCAGAATGAAGAAAGGTTTGAAAGAGGAGGGAGACTCCATATTAATGGAGGATTCAGATTCATAAGGTTTGTTTAGAGGCTTTGGTTTGGATATGTATACGTGTGGTGTTTTGGTTTCTCAAGGAAGATTAGTCTTCTGTTGGTTATGTTATATACTGAAAGAGGATGTCTGGTTATAGGGGGAGAAGAAAATTAGTATATCATCTATTTTGACGCATTTTTCAACATTCATCTTATTTAATTATTAAAATATAATATTAATACAATCCATTGAACTAGTTACTATATTCTATTTGTATCACTATGCCTTTAACTCTATTTATTTTTAATTTCATATTAAAAAATAATAATTTTTTAATAAATATATCGTACAGTATGTTAAATCAATAAGTGTAAAAATTGGTGTAAAAAAAAGAAAGAAGAATATTGTCCAATGATTAACCATCAATTTTCTCGCATTTCTTCTTTGTAGGCGAGAATGAGATAAAAAGCTAATAAATCTACTAATGAAAAGAAAAAAAAAAGATAGATATTATTATTCTAAATTTACTATACATAATTAGAAATTCAAAAATAATATAGTTATAATACCACATGGTATTGTAACTTTATAATATGATATATTTTTATATAATTACTTATTTCCACTTAAGAATTTACTCATAATATTTTATGCATATATTTATTTAATAATATATCACACTCATTCAATATCATATCATAATTATAGACTTGCAATTATACATGTCATTGTAAATATAGCATTACTTATTAAAATTGAGATTTTTTATTTAAAAAAAAAAAACATATTCAAATTACACCTTTAATGTTGTCTCACAATAAGTGCATGAATCTATCTGCAATTACTTGTTACTGCCATACGTAAAAGTATAATTATTGTCATATCAAAAAAAAAAAGTATAATTATTGTAAAATTTTATTGTAAAACAATAATAGAAGAATATTGTGTGGGACATTATCATGAATTTTTTTTTATACATTTAATAATAGGTTATATAAAAAAAAATAATCCACATTTTTTCTTAAATCTTTCCTTATCTTACTCAAGATTTGAATTTAAAATTTGCAACTTGAAATCTCATATTTTAAATTAGTTAAGCCACTCCAAGGAAGTAGTATTCTCATGTACTTCTAAAAAAGAAAGAAATTGCCAGAAAATAAAAGGTTATATATTAATTGTAATTTACATATCTCTTAATTATTTGGAAAAAATATATAACAAAACATGTGAAAGTTAGGAATGCCCTGTACTGGCAAGCTTTTGCCTAATTTTTGGTAAGAGTCACTTTCATAGAACGTGATAATATATGGAGGCTGTAATGTTACAGCTGCTTGGTCTGAAGTAGTTATCTTCTATAAGTAACAATAAGATAGATGCTGTTTCAGACACTACGATCTCTCTTTCTTGTTTCATGGGGTTGTGGGGGACTTCGAGAGGATCCGAGACTTGTGTTTATATATCAAGGATCTTTGGAACAAGCTAATGGATTCTTCTAGGCTAAATTAATCCTTAAGCTAGCCCTAAAACTTAAAAGGTTGTAAGTTTTAAGCCCTTAAACTAAAAAGCCATCATTTAAGCTAAACTACACGGGCACATCAAATAAGCCCCTTACTACCGGCAAGTGGATGGTGGTTTCAGTGCGTGTACAATTGCCGTTTACCACATGCTGAGTTGATCCTTTTAAATTGCCTGACATCCTTGCTGGCTCTTTAGGCACATGTGGCTGATGGAAAAAGGAAAGGTTGTTTCAAATCAATTATCTAGAAATCTCAATTCGAACCTTGGGATTAACAAAGTTCAAACCACTCTAAAATCTACTTTTTACTCTCTGCTCCTGGTGAAATTCTCCACACTCTCTCAAAATTGTACTTGGACATCAAAATCCAACTGATCTATCTCAATGCCTTAATTTGTCTCGGTCTTTGGTTAGGAGCCATCTTAGATCTCAAAGATTCATTCAAGGTTGAGTCCTTGAGTTCAACCACCCTAGGCATATTCAAAACTGTCATCATGAGATGGTGCTTCAAGACATAGTGCATGGACTCCAACAGATGTCTAGAGGAGATTCTATGATGTGTTGATGTGAATGAAGGAGACATGACTGATGAATTGCAACAAGTTTAATTTGGTTACATATAATTAGTGCAACTTTAGTTATGGCTTTTAAATCATTAAGCAACTAGAGATCTCATATTCTCCCTTGGTTCCTAGTTCCCATTGTCCAAGATTTAATTATTAATTTAATTTAATTAATCTCAGCTTAATCTGTTATAATTGTTTTATAAGGCTTAACCTCCAATCATTAAACCAATGTTTCATCAACAA